AAAAAAAATGGGTTTTGAGGAAACCCCCCCCCCCCCCTTGGAGTAGGTGCCCTACGCAAACTGCTTACTCTGCGTACAAGGAGCTAATCTCAATAAAACCAGAAGGTTTCAGTCAGCAAGTTTAAACATGTATGATCATGAGCATAAAGCCACCTCTTACGTTTCCTCATATTTTCTCTTTAGGTGAGCAATGCAAGGGTTCAGTCATACAGAAACAACAATATCCAGAGATCCATGGTCATACCAAGAAATGCAAAAATTACTCATTATCACAATGATATTGAGCAAGGTGTTCAAACATATGGATGTGTAATCATGAAGAACGGCCAGCCTGCGTTCACTGAAGAAATCAGGATTTATTCAGCTTGAAAAATAAGGGGGAAAATGTAATGCAAAGAAAGTCTTTCAGGGTCTTGAACATTCAGTTCACTCACCGGCCATATTTGCAACGCTTACAGGCAGCTATTTCACTCATGCAAGGCCAGCTATTGGAAATTAAAATTTAAAATTCTCACTGATTTTGCTTTACAAACTAACATTTAAATGGCACATTTCAAAATTTTGCTGTTTCATATCTTAAGAAGTGTGTTAATATGTGAAATTGTGATGATTACTTCACCTAAATCAGATGAGGATACTGTTTACTGTCTATTTGTCTTACTCTTCTGTAATTTGTTATGGCTATTTCATAAATGTATGTACCATAAATGTACCAAATTATTTGAAGTTTATTGTCAGTTATTTCTTTTGTCAATAAACTGAGTTGGAATGCGTATAGTGATCCGAATGCATAATTCAATGCACATACTGTATTTTAATTTTAAACTTCTATATTTTAATCCATAGTTTTATCTGGATATCTTGATTTGAGTTTAAAGGGGGCATAACACACACAGTTTCACCCAATCTCATGTTAATGTTGAGTACCTATAGAGTCGTACTGCATCCTTCATATCTCCAAAAAGTCTTTAGTTTGATCATATTTATAAAAGAAAGATACAGCTTTACGATTCTCTCCGGAAAAATCCAAGCTCCTTGAGGTGCGCCGTGGGCGGAGCTAAAGAGTGACGAGCACTTGGGCACCGAATGCCAACAAAACAGACATTTGATGCCGTTTCACTTACCGTCTGCAGTTCTGAATCATGACCGGGATCTTTTATAGCTGGGACCGCTCCATCTTTACTTCTCAACTTTTTTTATTAACAAAACCAAACCAAACATTTTCCCAAAGCAAAGAAAAATCTTTATCAATATTCTCAATAACAAATAAAGAGAGGTTTTTCCATAACAATTTGATAGCTGGATTCCTTTATCCATATTAGGGATTTCCTGGAGCGTCATGAGTTCTGTTACTTCTGTGATGCATATGTGGAGTTTCCGCGCGAGGGCGCCCTCCGGCTGCCAGTAAGAATGAAACATTACATGTGTTTAGGGCTTAATGTCCACTCTGTCCTATTTTGGGCATACATAGGAAAAATGAAATGTGAAGTAAACATGATAATCCATGTTTTTCTCATGGATTGAGATTTCTCATGTGTATTGTACAGGAGTTGTTTTAACCAGTTTGTTTTAACCAGATTCTTTTACCCAAATTGTGAAGCCCTAAACCAAACCTGTCAGAGCCTCATGTAAGCGGTTGTTCAGAATTCAATATAATTGCTTGCCATAATGCAGCCATCTGTCACACAGTATTTTTGAGAAAATGCTTCTGTGTGCTTAATTTAAGTTACTTAAATAAAAAATAACATTTTGTTATTGCAATGCTAAATTTGTTGCTATTTTGCACTTTGACTTTTGACAGTCTGAATATTGTGTGTAATAAAAAATAAGTCTTTGACATCATAATTGTATTGCATTGTTGTTTTAAATACCAAATATTTCACTTAAAACATTCCTCATGAACACTTATTCAGTTATTTTAATATACTGTACGTCGTTGTGAAAAAAGTAGTTTCAATGTAACTTTTTGGTAGTAAATTGTAGTGTAGCTAGCTACTTTTTCAGAAGAGTAGCTTGACTGTAGCTTAACTACTTTAACTTATGAGTAGCTTGTAGCTTATTAAGCTACAGTTTCAGAGTAGCTTCCCCAACACTGCTGTTTTGTATCTTTGCAAGATTTCTTGCCTAATTTAATAATTGTCTTAATTTGTGCACAAACAAGCACCTGTGAGGCGACCTGAGGTAAAATCTGAGAATAGTATGTATCCTTATAGTAGGCCTAGTTTTTTAATTTGTCATGTAAATACCACAAACTGCACAATGTTTTGAATAATTTTTGTTGGTGAAATAGAGCAAAAATTGCCAAAATTTACAATGTTGTGTTTGAAAATTGTAAATTAATGCAATTAATTTCTTGTTTATTTAACTATTTGTATAAATTGTCCGCTTTTATAATCATTGATAACGCACACAAATAGTGTCTTGAGTCTTCTTTTTATTATCAATATTTGTGTAATTGTTTGTTTGTGTTTTATCTGAAGTACATTTACAGCATTATATTTGAGAGTTGCAGAGCAAGTTATTTTTTTTAATGCATTTTGTTAAAATTTAACCTGAAGAAATCCTGATGTTGTTCTTTGACTTGTGTTAACACACACCCAAAAGTGATCAGAAACTCCACCCTTACAACACTTACCAGGAAGAGACTGGCTTATTATTTCTGTCGTACAGACTCTCTTCTCTCTCAACATAAGCAAAAATAATCAATGGAAAAAGGAAGAGAAACTCTTTAAAGGAGGATTTTTGAGAAGTGTGTTTGTCGAACAGACGGCAGATCTTTGTGATACTCATGATTAATCATTAAAAAACACATTATTTTCCACATACTGTACATTACTGTTTCTCGTCTATGACCCGCTTTTCTGAAACGCGCCAATTTTTACAAAGCTCATCGGTCTAAAAAGCGAGGTGTGCTCCGATTGGCCAGCTATCCAGTGCGTTGTGATTGGCCGAATACCTCAAGCGTGTGACGGAAATGTTACACCCCTT